GGGCCATCCCCTTCCAAGTGTCCAAAGGCTGCAGGGCGAAGGTCACCAGACAGGGCAGCACGCCCTTGACCGTAATCCCGAAGGAGTAGCCATGCACAGCCCTGGGATTCAGGGTGTTGACCAAGGGGTATACCTGCCGGGTGCCCAGAGAGATCCTTCAAGAGGTTTCCGCAGATCAGGTGCTATGTCTTCCAACAGTGGTGGAAGCTTTGAGAAACCGACTAAATGGATGTGATCTGCGCACCCAAAGGAACACATTGGCACCTCACTTGGCAAAGAAAGCTTGACAGGAGCTCGAAACAAGCCAGATCAACTTACAAAGCTTCAAGCTGAGCGCCCCTCCACTGCTGAAGAATCCCAAATTTGTTGCCCCCCCCCCCCGGTCTTGAACCAAAGGCAAACCCGGGTTGTTCCCAGCCCCTACCCTCAACCCTGGCCTGGGCATAGGACTCCGGCCGCTGGGAGTGCACAGTGAAGCGCCAGCTCAGCACTTGAAACCCCGCCGAAATCTCCCAGGGTTCCGTGTCCATGGCTGCCAGGGGCCGTCCTGACTGGACCGGCCACCCGCCACGGGCCCTAGCTCGTCGGGGAGCCGGAAATACGGGCGGCGCGCAAATGGAGAAAACGACTTAGGCTGGGTACAAGCAGGAGAAATTGGACGGAAAGTGGTCACACACACACACACAGGCTTCACACGCCGCGATTCCACCCAAACCTAGCTTTGCCATCCCATCCCGGACCGGTTGTCCACTGGTGCAGGAGAACAAAGACTACTGGTGGTGGTGGTGGTCTACAATGCCAATTCTTAAACTCTGTGAGCCCTCAGTACTAACAAGTGTAACTCGGTCTTCTCACCACAACTCTGGAGGACCTTGAGGCTTTTTCCGTATTCGCCACTCCCAAGCCTCGTGGAGGGAATTCCCCACCCCCCAAAACCACCAGAACCCCAGGCCGACACAGAGCTGTGCGGCCCGGGCCGGAATCCGTGCGCACAGAAGGGCGCCACTACGGCGAACCAGCCTGGCGAGCCGGGTGGCTTTAGCCCCCCAGGGAACAGCCCCTTGAGAACTTTGGGAGAATCTTGGCGGTTGTCCTCTAAAAGGATTGGGCTAGAAAAACAAGACCCTTTCAAAACTGAGTCTAGGGATGGGTTTAGAGCAGTTGCAAGTAATCTCAACAAGTGGATTAATCAGGATGAGCGCGCGATTACCCAATAGGTCCCCTTGACATGGCAGCTATCCCCCTCACCTAACAGGGGGGAAGCCTCCTGATACAATCGGAAGGGTGATTACTCCGAAGTGAAGATGGAAAATCATTTGAGAATAGTGCAGGTCCCTTTTAAAGCCATAGTTTGTGCTTTGGAGGTGGAGCCGGCCAAGGCATCAGGTGGAAACCTGGCTTCGGGATCATCTGCCTGGGGTGGTCCAAAGAGGTGGAGTAGCCAGCGCCCTTCCTCTTGCAACAGGAATTCGAATTCGTGTCGCCCGTGGCTTACAGCACGGGTTGCATCGGGTGGGCCGCTTTGTGCATGGAGCAAGTGTGGGCTGTGGGAAATATGTCCCCTGATTCATAAACGCCCCCCGCCCTGCTCCACTGCGGGGAGACAGCCCACATTTCCCACCCAAGCTTTGCCTTTTTGGGGACCTCCAAGCTTGTTGCAAGGTGGCAAAAGGCCCAACTTGTACATATTTGTTTGGAGCGGGAGTAACGCTGGATGGAAAGCCTTCATGAAGAAATTCCGCCTCCTGAGTTAATTGCTTGTGCGACTTCAGGAGGCGTCGGCTACTCACTCCAAACCCGGAAAGTATGAAGTCCGGCAACGTGGGAAATGACCTATAAGGACCATGGCTTCCTAACTCATGTTTCAAAGCACAAATGACGCGGGGTGTTGGTTTCAACTCCGTATCAAAACTCCCATAACTGTCATCAGCCTACAAATAGAAGAGCGTCAAAAGATCATGCATGGCACACTTGGCTCTGAGTGATGATGCTCCGTCACCGTTGCAAGCCGTCTCCAAATGGCAAGGCGAAAGCTTTGACAGGCTACCATCTCAACATCCCGTGGCCCCCTGTCATGTGGAGGACTCAGAGGTCAACATCAGAGGTACTCATGGTGATTCTTAAAAGAGGGGGATGGCACTCGTCGCTGAAAAACGGCCACAGTCTTGGCAACATTTGGGGCACATAGAAGGCACATCTTCTGACTAGACTCATACTACTGTTGACCCGTAGCAGGGGTGTAACCAGGGTTACCAACCACTTATTTGTTGTACTCATTTGTACTCTCCTTGCTGTCCCATCCGCTCCCAAATTTTCGCCCTTTAGGGGATGAATTTTGGCCAGTCTTCAGGGGCTTGGATAGATATCCTCCCTCCATCAAAAAATGGCTGCTTTCCTTGTTTTCTCCCTTTGGGGAGCCCCAACAAGTGCACCCTCGAAGTTCACTCACCCAGCTAGTGGACTTGAAGATTAGTTTGGTCGCAATCAAAAACCTGGAGGTATTCTGATCAATCCACTTAGGAACATCACCGTTCCACACTTTTCAAGATGCTGTGTTCAGCTTCCAGCGGAACACATCCAGGAAGCATGGGGAAAGATCCCATGACTGTCAGTGAGCAACATACAAAAAGGCGTCATGTGGATGGTTTCCAATAGACCTGCCCACCATTAAGGCTGCGTTTTGCCCCGTAGTTTGCCTAATTTGGCAAACTGTTTTGAGGGCGTGTCTGGTTTTGGCAGGGCTCCCTGTATCCCCTCTCCTTCAGACATCACACCAAAAGGAGTCTCACTTCAATTTGAATTGCCCCAAAGGCGATGCTTAAACACATCAAAGGGGACAATATATTTATATATACATACGTGAGCGACGGGCAAAACTCCTGGTACTGGAAAAGGACATCGGTCATTTGGGGCGTCCCCTATCGGTTATCAGTGCTTTGCGCTGCGCATGATCCGCAAGCTCACGCTAACATGAAAAAGAAAGCGGTGGAAAGGCCAAAGGTGGGGAAACAAGAAAGAAGAAGAAGAAGGAGAAGGAGAAGGAGAAGGAGCAGCTCCAGCTCGAAAATCGCAACTTTGTAGTATATACGCGAAGTACACTTCCGCAGCTCCAGCTCGAAAAACCCCAACTTTGTAGTACAAGAGTGCACTACACGAAGTACACTTCCGTTGCTCCAGCTCGAAAATCGAAACTTTAAAGTACAAGTGTAGAATACGAAGTACACTTCCGCAACTGCAGCTGCAGCTGTAGTACAAGTACACTTCAGACTTCCTCAACTCCAGCGTGTTCACGTGCCTCATGCTTCTTGCCACTGGTGCTTGGAACAGCACGCTGCGGCACGATATTTAGCTGCTACGACAACGCGAAACAAAGATGCTTTTCATGGCCAATGGGCGAGTGTTCACTTTCAACAGGTCAGGGTATCGGTTGGGGTATCGGTTGGGTATCGGTTGGGTATCGGTTGGACCTTGGTGTCTTTTGGTGGAGAAATGGACTTGGTAGCAAACGTGTGCCAAGTATTTCCCCTCCTAAGATGTAAGGTATCATGCTTAGGGGTATCAGTTTTGGGGCGTCCCCTATCGGTTATGCATGTTTTAGATGTTTTGCAAAAACCAAAGTCCAGTTTTGATTTAAGTCCATTGTCGGTAGTTTTGTCGGGCACTCACATATATATATATATATGGCGGTTGTCCTATATTCCTTTGCCCGCGATTGGGCCCTTGGGCCGCACTTGCGCGGCACTTGCGCGTACTTGCGCGCGCACAGTGGCGCAGAAACTTGTTTTCGTTGACCTCGGTTTGCGAAGTTTTCGTGTGGATTGCGCGCAAGCTTTTCTAAGCAGTGTGTTTGTCGTTCACACAGCAACCCACAAAGACTTTTCCCGCTGAGGTCGCTCCCGGCAATTGAATGCCAGCTGGCAACATACCCTTGACCCAACAGAAAGAACAGCAGGCTCTGCCACACAGCTTGGACACAGCATGAAAGAAGGAAAGTGCATGTTGCGGGTGCCTATTCATTGCTTGAACCGCGCCGCTAAGGACATCCGAGACAGCACGGCTAGTCTCGCTGGGGCTTCTCGTGCTTGCGCGCAACTTGCGCGCGGCTTGCGCGCGGCTTGCGCGGATTTTGTCGTGCTGATTGTTGAAGTCATGACCGCAGAAGCTTTGGCTTCGTTTGGCGTCTGACTGATTCGAAAAGCACAAGTACAGCAAGAAAATATCACCTCCTTTCATGAAGCTAGGCAACATCAGTGCATGAAACCCTTCAAAACTGTAACCTTGCGCGTCCCTTGGGCCGCACTTGCGCGCTCCTTGCGCGCGCACGGCTTTTGACAACTTTTACTTCTCCCCGTTCGGCGATAATTAAAACCGAAGACTGGGGTTTTAGGACGGCCCTCATATATGTGTAGGGAACTCTTTTTAGGGGACTCACTTCTTTCTCCTTGATATCCGGGGCCTTGAGCGCTAGGATCTGCTTCTTCATGCGCATCCGCGCCTGGCGTCAGCCCACATGTCAAAAGTCGGCGCCTTTGGAACCCGGGTGTCCTTTCGTGCCTCCCTTCAAGGGGCTCCAAATTGGGGGTCCATCATTTTGACAACCGCACGGCTCTGGTGAATGAATCCATACTTGTGGGTTCTAGGTTTCACTCCTTGTACTTCACTTTCATTTGCAAGTGAGCTGCTCTAAGGAAACACGCCGTGAACCCCTATCTCGTAGAATTTGGCTTGAGCTTGCGCTGTCCTGACACAGCACATGTTTAAGCTTGCGCTGCAGTTCGAAAGCATGACAAGCTTACGCTTTCCTTGCGTATGAGCGTTTTGGTGTTTCCCCAGCACATTGCCTACGCACCTTTGCTGCGCAAACGCCAGAACTGTCCAACAGCAGTTGATTGCTTACAAGCGGGTTGCAAAGAAGGCGATGAACTTCAAAGATACCGTGGACTGTCTGCACTCAGCGCTGCCTTTCTCTCCACTGCAAATCAAGGAGCGGCTCCTAGCATCCATGACGTGGGTTAGCAGAGAGCCGTGCTAGGCGAGCTTGCGCAAACCTTACACGCCTGCTTACGCCTGCTTGCGCCCACCTATTTTTTTTGCGGAATCAGCTGTTTGATATCCTTGTCCTGGGAAGGAGCTCAGCAACTTTCGCAAGCTGTCACAAAGCAAAACTTGCGCCCGTGCTGCTGCACCATGTGTCGCCAAAATGCTTCTGCCCGCTGCGCCACCTATGCTCTTGCTTATGCAGAGGCTCCCCGGACACAACCCTCGCTTCACATGCAGAGGTGGGCTTGTAGAATTGATCAGGCGAATCAACCATGACTTTTCTTCAGGTTGCCACACAACCATGGCATTTGCAGTGAACTCCAAGGTTTCCAACTTGTTACTTACAAAACTTCGGGATTGATCCAAACTCTAGACTCAATATTTCGAAGCCGGACACAGGAAGTGAATCCCCTTTTCGGAGTCGTTTGCGCAGCCGTGAACTTCTCCGAGTTGTTGTTGCTTCCATTCAAGTGACATCCTGAAAAGAATAAAGGGAAACGACCCCCCAAAAGTGATTTGCAGAACTCCAAGAATGTTCGCCTGTTGGGAACCGCCAAGCTTTTTGGGACCGCATCTTGAGGTCACCGCAACTCTCCTTCCGGGGTGTCGCTGCGCCTCAGACGCCTCCCGCTGGGTGACCTTCGCCGGGTCGCCGTGCCGCGCCAAGGCCTCCGCGAAGAGCCTCGGAGAGCGCGGCCAAAGGGCAGGCGAGAGGAACCGACGGATGCTGACGGATGGCACGACGGCCTGACCTGCCAAATTTCTATGCCAGCTTTTGGGATTTTGTATTGGTTCCGAATCGGGCTAGTATTGTAGCTATTATCAGTGTTGCATTGGTTTAGTATCGGATCCAAAGTGTCCCAGAATCCGACCGGAGTCAGGGTGGGCGGTTTAGAATTGGTGTACTGTAGGCATTGGCGAAATCCAATATCAAAAGGAAACACGTGATACGAGCTCGCCAAAGGACGAAAAAATCAAAGTTATTCCACCCAGGATGAAGTCTGTTCGTTCGGACTTTGTATATGTGGGCTGTGCATCCTCAATTTCTCTTGCTTAAATTCATTGCTCGGGAATTGCAGTGTTGAATAGTTTTTGGAGCTGGAGCCCGAAGCGGAACCGGCCTGGGATCCGCCTGTATCGTTCCGGCCACATGCGAAGCAAATAGTAGGGAGGACGGGGGTGGACTCTCCCGTGCCATCTGAGCCGCCGCCCAAACCCTTGTGTGCCAAACTGAAATACCTCTCAATCCCATCGTTTCAAAGACTCGCCTTCGTTATCACTGTTTATCACGCAATCTTGTAGTCTCATCTACTTTCACGGTGGTTCACACACCGTCGGCAAACTAGAAACCAGACATGCTATTTCCCAAAGGAATATTTAGGCTATCAAATGTGAAGTGCAATCGGCCCTCCCCCCCCCTCACAACGCCAGCAAAGCAGGTCACCAATCTTAAACCTGGAAGAACAAAAGCCCCCGACTTGGGTGTCCTCGTATGTTTGTGTTTTTCAAGGGAATCTATCAGTCGCGAAGAGAACGCTTAGATGCTTGAAGTGTAGGATAGGATGCTTTCCCTACCCAGAACTCACGCAGGGTTGGTTGAGCAATACTCACCTAAGTGACTCAGCAGGCATTCGCATCACTGCACACAGCCCGCATTCTGTGACTTGGCATGCCTCAGCATCACGAATCTTGCCACCCCTTGCTGCGCTTTCAACCTGAACAATGCCGCGAGCTTGATTTGGACATCCTCATACCACCCCTGGCCCCATACTCACCTTACAGCCTCGCAGTCCAGCCATTCATCTCACCATTCAACGCATGAGCCATGATCAAAATATGCGGTTGCCCTGTTGACATGAGAATCTGAGTGAGCCCGCTGGATTTTGGAGAAATTGTTGCATCTCTAGATCTGTTGACCACCACCCAAAAGAATCCGTTCCAACACCCAGCCAGCCGGCGTTGGGGAACATCAAGTTGAGAGCATTGTCCAGTGCCCCGTTGTGTAAGTCGTTTATGAAATTGGGAATCCCCCTTTTGGCTGGCACTTCAAGGGACACCAAGGTCAAGCCAACGCGAAAGCAGCCGAAGACAAAACAAGATGCCATGTTCTACTTAAGCCAAATTTAACTTATCTTTGGAGACGCCTAGTTCGGGCCGAGTTTGGGCAAAATCCATTGAGAGAAACTTGCACAGCCGACTGAACATAAATCCAAGTCACACCCATTTTACACAATGTGCCTCGAGCCCCTCCACACGCCCCTGGCCGAGTCACAAGGTGAACACCCCACAGTCGCAGGCGTTCTCCTGGACCAAAGGGTTGCCAGGATTGCCGTTAGGAGCCAGTCCTTCTTGCTGCCACGTTTGAGAAGTTGCTCAAATCTCCAAGACAAAAATCCAAGTCAAGAACACTTCAAGATGGACTGAAGGCTCCAATTCCCAAACAGCAAATCCGAGCCACCCTCAGGGGTAAGGTACGCCTGCACTTGCTGAGACGTGTGTTTTTATTCACCAGGCATAAATGATTCTTTTTAAGATCGACAGGATCAAAATCACCAAAAGGCAAATGGAAAGTAATTGACTTGCCGCAACTCACATGGACGATACTGAGTGGATGTGAAAGTAACAGTTGTTGACATAAACTACCCGGAAAAAATGGGGGGGACAGCAGAAACGATCATGGTTGGCCCTCCGACTCTTCGCCACCATATTAAATATGACGAAAGCTGCTGCCAGCAACAAGAAACGTTCAAAGGCTCACACATTGCGCTACACCAAAACCAAATCCAACTTTAACTTGTTGGTTGCAACCATAAAAAGCAACCTTTGAAGGGACAATACAAATGGCCTACTATATGTTGACCTCGGATTGACAAAGCTGACTGATTCATGTGTGTGGTCAGAAGCGAGTTTGGCTCTGGCTACCAAGCCTTGTTGGCAAGATCAATAACTCTCCTCTGCATACGCACACTTTTTGGCTTCCATGTAAAGAAGGCTCCATGTTCATCTGAACGAGAGTGACCAGCATTGTTCAACATTCAGTATTCCCATATCAATCAGCAAGTCGCAGTGGGACAATACTACAACAAGGGGGAACGCCTTCCAATTGGCAAAAGGAATAAGGAAGATGTTTGAACAGCCAGCAAGGAAGCCCCCAAGGAAAACCCAGTTGGAACCAGTGACCGTGATGGACAAAAGGAATCCTGTTTGGCTTTGAAACTCCAGGGTTTGGGCAATACTTTGCACAAATGACTGGTCCAATTCTTCCAACTGCAAACCAAAAGCAGCTTGTTCAAACCGTTTGGTGGAAATGTTTAAGCATGTTTCAACGACCCCCAAACGCCCACCAAACTGTTTGGCTATGGGTCAAAACCCCGTGCCCCCAATAAACATCCCAATCCCCACTAAAATGGACTAAAATAGGTGGTGCACCTACCCCAAAACGGTACCATTGGTGCTGACCCGCGGCCGTTTCCACTTTTGCCCGCCTGGCGCCCCGCCGGCGCCTGCGCCGGCGCTGGCGCCGGGGCCTCGCCCGGATGCGAAGCCATGGCCGGGCGGAGCTTCGCAGCGATGCGCTCGGCTTGCCGCAGGTTTCCGCCGCCACCTCCGCCATGGGTTCTGCACAAGTAGGGTGTGGCTTTGGACCGATGTCCTTGAGAAATCTGAGGGGGGTCCAGTTGTTGGTCCAGAAACATCAAGGATTTCCGGGCCCCTCTAAGATGGGTTCTACACCTTAAATATTTGTTTCACTTTGTCCCAAAACAGGGCATCGGCCTACAAGGCAAAGCCTGACTTGGAGTTCTGAAAGGCGGCTGCTTCAAGTGGTGTCTCTTTCGAGTTCGAACCGTTTGAGAGTGGTTTGGGCCATGGTAGTTAAATGACTGCCCCCTTCTGTGAGTGGACAAACTCCGTCACTGCTTCGACTCGATTTCAAAGGGATTCCTTTGGTACCGCAGAAATGTGGCAACCAAAAACCAAGCGTTCCCCCTCCAACAATCATGTCAGCGGACAGGGAGGGTCCCCACAGGAAAGTTCAGGTGAACTGGAAAGCCCCACTTCTGCAAAAAAGACAAAAGGAAACCCTTGACACATTCAGGATTCCCCCTGCTTCAAGACACATCCAAAATTTGGCCCAAAAGGGTAAGGAGAATCTTTTGGAAACGTAGAGAAACAAACCGTTGCTCGGAGAATCTTCGCAAATCCAGGCGCTTTCAACTCTGCTGCCTGCTCCCAATGAAGAGATATAAACAGCACCGATCGGCACAGGGTGGCTGATCATCTGATCCAGAGCCCGACGGGAAGGGTCCTTTATCAAACTTCCTGAGTGTGATTGGCCCCCAAACCAGCCAAGCGTTCTTTGCCACTGAATCAATCTGTGCACATAAAAGCATGTAGTGAGCCTTTTGAAACGAGACAGCCTTCAAGCAAGCACACGTCGCAGTGGGCAAAGGCCTGAAGTCCAACTCCGTGCAAATGCTATCCAAAGGTGGGGGATTGGAGTAGTTGAGCTCGGTCAATTTAGTGCACAGCACCCAGAGTTGATGCAATTGGATGGTCAAAGTCAATAGTGTTTGTGTTTGTTTCCATTCCACATGGAAGTCAATGACAATGCTTGGTTTTTCAATGGATGAATGAACCTCATCACTTAGGCATGTATTCACTTGACACGAGAGATGATTGATTCATGGTTGATTCATGGTTTATTGAAGGTTAATTGATGATGATTGATTGAAGGTTGGTTGAAGCTTGCTTGATTGTGTTGATGATGATTGAGCCAATTTCTATCACTCAACACTTGGCAGGCAAAACCCTGTTCATGTTTGTTGGTGGAAGTGTACATGATAATAGTTCCGTGTACCAGCTCTTCCATGTTATCACCATGTTCCTGAAACTGTTCATAATCTGTCATGCTATGTGCAGCAAAGCAACCCATGGAGTCATAGTAGCAGCTTCGAATCTCCTGCTGCGGTATTGCCCGCATTTGACTGATGCATCAGATCAGATCCATAACTGAAGATGAAGCCAGTCATCATTTTCATGTAGAAACTAGCTGGGCAGAAAATAATCACTTCCCCCTATTAATAAAGGTCTCCCTAATAATAAATATTTGTTTCGGAAGTCCCAAATCCGGGAATACTACTTTTAGAATAGCCAATACTAAACCAATTCTAAAGTAGATATTTTCCTGCCCGTACTCAAATCCAGCCCCATTAGGGGGACCCCGGGGGCACGTTTCCTTTAATTACTACGGCTGTACTACAAAGTTGCGACTTTCAGTGCTCTTCACGGACACCGACTCCGTGATGGGCCAGAGCTCCGGGAGCACGTTTCCTTTACTACGGCTGTACTACAAAGTTGCTGTACCCAACACCCACAACCAAAAACAACAAAACGTGACCTCAACTCCCGCTACTTAAATTCCTTACTCAGAAATGTGCGTTTGAAGCGATTTTACGGAACGGAACAGGGGGACCACAGTTGCAAACAAGCCTACACAGAACAAGAAGTACCTCCAAAACCTGCCCTCCAGAACCAGGGGACCCCTAATAATAAAAATTGTTTTGCAGGCCGGGTATTTTTTTTATTAGGGAGGGGGGGGGGGGGGGGCGTCGTTTATTATTAGGGGGAAGGGATTAAAGAAGATGGCTCACACATTGGCGGCGCTGGCACTGTTGCAGGTAGAGTGGCCGTATTTTCAAGAATGCAAGCCCCTTTCAAGTGGTGGGTGACCGTTTGTGTATGCAAGCTAACCAAACGGCACCACACACAAGCACGCGATAACTCTTTCATCCGAGCAGTGTGTTGGTGCCAGGGACTCATCTTCCCCTGTCAGATGTCAAAGGCTGGGTGGGCCCCATGGGCCACCCAACTCACAATCTCAAAAACTGAAGAACGGGTGTGCAGACTGATAGCGCCCGCCCCTGAGCCGGGGCCCGTGGCGCCCAGGCCACAGGGGGGTCTGCCACCAGGGGAAGTGAGTCACCCACCGGCTAGCATGGGTGGCCACGCTAAGATCAAATGCATCTCCATTCAGGAGACGCGGGAGAAAAACGAACTCCTCGCAGAGTTCCTGCTTGGGGACCCTGTGCAAAGGGTCGAACCCAGAGAAATCTGGGTGCGTCAGCTCATCAGCCCATTGATTGAATTCACGGGGCACGTGGTTGGCCGCCAGCGAGCAGCCATGGGTGTGGAGCAGGAAGACCAGCTCCATCAGGATCGCCGCCGTGTAGGGCTTCTTGGATCCAAGGTTGAGCATCGCCATGACGTTGCCCTGATTGTCACTGCCCACCGGGAGTCGGACCCGGGAGGACAGAGGGCCTTGGTGCGTGAGGATCATGTTACAGAGGAAGAGCGTGCCCAGCATCTCCAGAGCCGCAATCCTCCGCTTGGGATCCCCATTCTTGAATGCCCAAGGGTACTCCTCCACGTGGATCTGCTCGTGGAACCAGTACACCTCCTTCTTTTCCGGCTCCACTTTGTTGGAGCACCAACCTCCCACAAATGCCAGTCCTTCGTCCGAGGCGCTAGCATCGCTGCAACCCCACCAAGAGGACTTCGGCAAGTAAGGGGAGTACTGGACGAAGGGCGTGTTGAAGAGGAACCGCAGCATGAACGCCAGCATCCTGACCACCTTGGGGGGTTTCCCCACCGTGGTGGTGGCCATCTTCCAGGCCCAAAGTGGCTGGAGCATCGACTTCGCCAGCGGACATGCAGCAGTCGCCCATTGGATGCGACCCAGGGCCTTCTCGATGTCCTTTGAGTGCATCGCCTGCCCTTCCACCATGGTCTGCAAAACCTCCATAACCAGGATGTGTTTGTTGGCGGCCATGAGAACCTGCGGGATGTTCGGGTGGACCACGAAACCCAGCCACGTGTTAACCTCCGCCAAATGCGTCTTCTTCCAGCTAAGCGGGGTGCCCAAGGCCAGGAGTGTTGCCAGCAGCGCCACCGCCAAGTTTACTGCCCCTTCGCTTCGAAGCAGCCACAGGAAGTCATCGACAAAGACGAAGTTCCAATCCACTTGAGGGAAGAGTGCGTAGAGGACCCTGAGTAGAAGGGCTGCCAGGCGTGATTGGGCACTGGCCATGCCATATGTGCCTACCTTGTTCACCCACCATTCTTCCCCCAGTGAGGCCACCTGGAACCGCCAGTCCTTCTGAGGACCTTCACTCTCCGGTGGGCCTTGGTGACGTCCGCCTTGAGCAGCACCCACCTGGTGCCCGGCTCCGGCCATAGCCAGCCCCCAGGTGGAGGTTTGACGACCCCCCTCTCGGGGCCAGGGGCACCCTGAGAGGGGGGTCCCTCCGCAGCTGCCGCGTGTAGCCAATGAAGAGCTTGTACCCCATCCAGCACCGTCGGAGCCGTCGTCCTTTCCATCGTCTGGTTCCTGATGGTGTCATTGGCCCCGCCCACCGAGCCATCGTAGATGGTGCGGATCTTGTCCCCCTCGTCGATGCCCGCTAGGGGGCCGGGACAAAGGTCCTCGATTTCGCAGCCACAGCGCGATGCTGCCTCCACCTTAGTGAAGGGGCCCTCTACCATGCCGCTGAAGTGATCCGCCGAGGGGTAGTTGCCCCTGGAACTCCGGCTCCTCCCCTTTCAGCTCCTTCTTGAGTGGGCAGATGCCAGGCGAGGTCAGGGGTGGGTCCGTGACCCCCAGTCACACCCTGGTCGGCCTGTCCCCAGACCAGAATCTCCCTGATATCCAACCGTCCCAATGAGGGCTTTCCCCCTCCGTCCCTTAGGGGGCGCTGTTTGAAGGCCATCTGGAGGTACATGACCTTGTCGGAGAGATTGGGGTCGTGAGTGATCGGCAGGATGGTGGGCCGATCCGAGATTTCCATGCCGTGGTGTGCCCATGGCTCAGGGGAAAGAGTTCCCCCCCCAAGTTCGTCCGTCTCGCCAGTCCTCTGCGTCGGTGTCCGGACCTCCGGATTGTCCGAGGCCGAGACCGGAAGTGAGCCCAAGGTTAGTCCCGCCAACGCTTGTTGGCCAGCCTTCAGCCTCCGGGACTGGCGCTTGTTGTCCCCCGGCGTGCTGGGAGAAGGTTCCCTCTGCCGCCTCGCAGGGGTCGTTGGGTTCGCCTGGGGCACCGTGCCCCCCGGCCTCCTCAGCGCCTCCAGGACGGGTCCCGCTCGGCAAAGGATGGCCGCTGCGAGACCCTGCATCATCTGCTCTGGGTACCGGCTGAGGTCACTGGAGTTGAGCTTTTCCCCCCTGGGGTGAGCCCCGTGGTTGCAACGCAGATCATGCCAATGGTGAAGGGGAAGGTCCGTTGACAATGTCGTGGACTTCACAACCACCTGGCCCAGGCGGCACTCGTCAAACTTGATGAGGGAGTGGTGGAGTGCGTTCGCCCATTGAATGTAGGCCCGTGTGACCCAGATCGATGAGCACCTCGCGGCGCTCGGGCCTCCATTGGGTCCATTGGGTGCTCCAAGAAGGAGGAGCCCACCTGCGGGACCGTTAGCTGACCTAGCCCCTTGTAGGCCAGCGAGGTCAGGTACATCTGCCGGAGCATGAGCACGCTGTCATTGTCCGTGTCCTCCGGGGCTCCAGGTCCTCTAAGCCCCACAGGGTCTGCTCTGCTCTGCCCCTCACCGGCGGTGGGCCACCCGGTTTGGGGAACCATCTGAGGATGCTCCACGTCCTGCAGTTGGGGCCGCCCCCCACCAAGGACCTTGCCCGCCATGGCCATGGAGCACATCGTAGAGTAAGGCTCATCTCCCAGCATGTCCTGTCCAAGGTCTCCACCCTTTCGCCTGATGTCCACTGCCCAAATGTACTCCGAGAAGGCCGGGTTGTAGGCATGGAGGTAAGCATCCAGGGCCCCCGCATCATCCTTCCCAGCGTACAGCAGGATGAGGGACGGCTTTGACGACTCCGGCACCGGACGTGGCGTCCACCTCAGTCTGAGCCTCAGTCTTTCCGGGATGTCTTGCATCCATGGGAAGGTGGGGCTTGCCCCCCCTAGGGATTCCGTGTGTCCTTTGTCTGACCCTCCAGTCATCTGTCCCTGGGCTTGCTGCTTGCCCTGGCGGTTCTTCCCGCCCTTGGAACGCCCCTTGCCGGGCGGATCCTCACCTCTGGGTCTCTCTGGGGGGTCTTCCCACTGCCTCGGTGGGTGCGGGGGAAAGGGATGCTTCCGCCCTTCTGGAGTGCCCTGGCTGGGTCCGCTCCTCTTCCTCGGTGGAGGGGCTTCCGGGGCCGGTGGCACCCTGGAGAAGTCCCCTCCCACCTGAGGCCGTCCTGGTGGCCTGTGGTCCCAACTGAGACCAGGAAGCCACGGGGCCTATGGCACCCTGAGTGGCCTCCTGTCACTTGGGAAGGTGAGGGCATGCCTGTGGCACATGCTTTGATGGGGGGGCATCGCACACCCACCCATCCTTCCTGACCGGGCAGTTGTGGGTTGGAGGTGATGATCTCTGCAGTACGCCACCCCTTTGGGATTCTTGAAAGCCCAGTGGTCCGGCCATGGAACTGAGGGGGTGTTGGGGGACTTCCCCTTGCCGCCCTTGCCCTTCGGCTTGGACCGGGTCGGCCCCGAGGGCCAGGAACCTTTCCCCCCCTTCTTGGGCTTCTCCCACTGAGTCTGCCACACCTTGGGTGCCTTGCCCTTGCTCTTCCCCTTCTCCGGCGCCCTGTTGAGGTGCTCATAGACCTCCCGTTGCCAGAAGAGGAAGTCGCCCCTGATATTCTTGAGGGCATCGGAGAGAGTGGTGCCCTGGTGCACCATCTCGTGGATCTTGCGCCATGCATTGCGCTCTGCGAACAGCAAGGTGGTGTCGCTCGGGGGAGGCTTCCTGCCGGCGATGTCTTCCCCATAGAACCAGGCATACCAATCATCCAGCTCCTCCTTGGTGACCTTCAGGTTGCCAAACTGTGGCAGTGCTGCCGTGCACATCAGGAGCGTCGTCCTGAAGGTTAGGTGCAATCGTTCCAGCTGGCGCCGGGATGTAG